TCAGGAAGCACAGTAAGTCCAAGGAAGACTTAAGTCATACATAGACATATCACAAAAATAAAACAAATGATCTTAAACGAGTGTGTGCTGGTAGAACAGTTTCAGAGGTAGGTGCACAAACAGGAATAAGTTAAAGTAAATTGGTTTTTGTTTTTTTTGGAGGGGGGGCTGTTTTCAAGAGGAAAGATACTAAGAGCACGATTAATGAAAACATAAGAGATGGTGAAAAACAGAGGGTGAGGAAACTAAAATGACAAGGTTTTTTTTCCCCCCTGGGAAAGACATCTAATATCTTGAGTACAGGGAAAGTAAAGGAAGAGTATGAGGAGTTAAAAATATATATATTAAACAGTCATAGCAAAAAGTAAGTTTCCAGGCCGGGCACGGTGGCTCATGCCTGTAATCCCAGCACTTTGGGAGGCCGAGGTGGGCGGATCACAAGGTCAGGAGATCGAGACCATCCTGGCTAACACAGTGAAACCCCGTCTCTACTAAAAATACAAAAAATTAGCCAGCGCTTGGTGGCCCAGGCCGCCTGTAGTTCCAGCTACTCGGCGCAGGTCAGCGAGATATTGGCATGCGCATCTCTGGGCATCGGCTCTCTCCTCGCAGCAGGTCTTCGCCATTCTTGTTAGTCCGCACGATCACGCTACTTTCGCAACTTCCCTTCCATGCGCGTGGGTCTTTCCGCGACGACCACCCGAGCCGCACTCTCCTGTCTCAAAAAAAAAAAAAAAACCTATAAGTTTCCCTAGAGAGAAAGTATAATTGACATTGCAAGCAATTTAAATGTCAGCTGTGACTGTTATGAATCAATGAATGACAGGAATTTTTATATAGTGTGATTTTTTTCTCTATAAAACAGTAAGCTCAAATAAAGTATAAAATATAAGTCACACAGATTAATGAAGAAGAGGTACTTCAACTAAGAGATGAGACACACCCTAAATGAGTACAATCATAAGCCTAACAGAAGCATCATGAAACATAATACTACCTACACAGTGATTTTTTTTGTTTGTTTCTTTTAAAAAGACTTAAAGAAAGATTTAGTCGGGAAAAAGTATCAAGTAAATGAAGAACATAATCTCTTTTTTTTTTTTTTTTTGAGACGGAGTCTCGCTCTGTCACCCAGGCTGGAGTGCAGTGGCCGGATCTCAGCTCGCTGCAAGCTCCACCTCCCGGGTTTATGCCATTCTCCTGCCTCAGCCTCCCGAGTAGCTGGGACTACAGGCGCCTGCCACCTCACCTGGCTAATTTTTTGTATTTTTTAGTAGAGACGGGTTTTCACCGTGTTAGCCAGGATGGTCTCGATCTCCTGACCTCGTGATCCACCCATCTCGGCCTCCCATAGTGCCAGGATTACAGGCTTGAGCCACCGCGCCTGGCCGAAGAACATAATCTTATCAGATATGGTGGTTATCAACATCGTTTGCCATTCTTCATGAATATTTTTGTTTTAAATAAAAACAAAAAAGAACGGCCATATTCAGTTTTAGAAAACAGAGACAAGAAAACACAATACTCTTGAACCATTGATTTTAATACAACCACTATGGCCAGGTGTGGCAGCTCATGCCTGTAATCCCAGCACTTTGGGAGGCCGAGGCAGGAGGATCACTTGAGCTTAGCAGTTGGAGACCAGCCTGGGCAACTTAGTAAAATCTCATCTCTACTAAAAAGGAAAAAAAAAAAAAAATTGCTGAGTGTAGTGGTGTGTGCCTGTATTCCCACCTACTCAAGAGGCTGAGGCAGGAGGACTGTTTGAGCCCAAGAAATTGAGACTGCAGTGAGTTATGATGGCATCAATGCACTCCAGCCTGGACTAAGCAAGACTCTGTCTCAAAAATAATAGAAAGATGTGGCAGAATAGGTCAGGCACAGTGGTTCATGCCTGTAATCCCAGCAACTTGGGAGGCTGAGGTGGGGAATTCACGTGAGGCCAGGGATTTGAAACCAGTCTGGGCATCAAAGCAAGACACTGATTTAAAAAAAAATAATAATAATAATAATAATAATATAACCACTGTGATAATTTTGTCAGTCCCCAGTACTTGCAACTTTTTGCTATGATAAATATCTCTGTATGTCTAGTCTTGTCATATTTTGTACATTTCCTTAGAACGGAAGTCACTTCTATTAAAGTCCTTTTATTTTTTATTTTTCTAAGACAGGGTCCCATCTGTCACCCAGTCTAGAGTGCAGTAGCATGATCTCAGGTCACTACAGCCTCCGCCTCCCAAGTTCAAGCAATTCTCATGCCTCAGTCTCCCAAGTACCTGGGATTACAGACGTGCACCATCCCACCTGGCTCTTTTTTTTCTTTTTGTAGATATGAGGTTTCACCATGATGACCAGGACGATCTTTTAACTCCTGACCTCAAGTGATCTGCCTGCCTCAGCCTCCCAAAGTGCTGGGATTATAGGCATGAGCCACCGTGCCCAGCCTATTAAGTCCTTAGCACCACAGTCTTGGTACTTTCCTTCTTTCTAGGAAATTTTCTTCATCTGATTTACCCATTTATTATTCTGTTTCTTGGCTGTAACCATTGCGTTATTACCCCTTTACTGTGTTCTTTGCTTTGACTATTATAAAATATAGCTGAATATATAAAATTTCTCTTTTAAAATTTTGTTTCAAATTACTACTATCTTCCCTCATGTCTTATGTTTATTATGCTGATTTGTTTTCTCTCTATAGTTCTATAAAAGACCTAATCTGGGTGGAAAACCAGATTGTATATTATTGGCAACATGAAATAAAGTTTTTTGGTTTCCTAAGCCAAAGCTATAAGCTTTCAATACACCTTTGAAATAAAAATATTAGTTGCTACTAATGCATGCATGATGGAAAAAAGTATGAGAAGAAAAATTCCAAATACCTAGCTGTTATTATATAAATATGCTATTCTGGTAGGAATGGACACATACATATATCCAGAGATATATATCCATATATATATCAAGAGATCCTGAAATAAAATGACCCTCTGAGTGTGAAACAAGTATATCAGCCATCTATAGAAACAGCCCACCAAGGACATGGTCTACAACTCCAGGTTTAATGAAGGTGATTGGGACATAGTTTCTACAAATGCAGGACCAGAGTTAATGTGAAAGGAAGCTGCAAAGCAGTCAAATACATTATAAGAGTGAAAAAAAGTATTATCAAGATTATAATATTTAAACATGATCAAACTGCCTTTATTCTGATGTCCGATTCACTAAACAAGCACTTTCCAATTATAATTTGTTTTCTCAAGAAGATTACCATAAGGAAGAAGAAGACAAGCAACATTTGGCATTCTTGGCAGTTATGTTATTTTTTTTTTTTTAATCATAGATGATTAAATGACATTCTTCCTTACCTTCATTTCTGAGATTCTGGCTTGAGTAAGCCCATTTGATGAACTCTAGGTATACTGACAAAAGTAAAAAGAGGATAGTAGAATAACCTGTGCAAGAAATGATAAGCACCCGAACCAACATTGAAGAAAAGATGAGTTTTGAAAACAATGAAGAAAAATTAAATATAAAAGTCATGTCTAGAAAGCCTCAAATTAGTAAATTAGAAAAAATGTTCAGAAGGCAGCACTTGGTGATTTATGTAATAGTAAGGAACAGGCAGAGAAAATGACACATAGGCAGGCACAAACAGTAACTCCAGGATAGAGGTATTTCGGACAAAAAAATACAAGAGGAGAGGAGAGAGATCACTTCTCAGGCGATATTGAGAATTTAAAATAAAATAACTAGCTGAGATGCATAACCTTTGCATATTTAAGTATTATTTAATACTCTTATTTAATCATTAAAGCCCTATTCTGAAGTACACTAAAGAGAAAACGCTTTTGTAAACACATTCAAGTTACTACACATACCTGAAAGAATCAGTTATTTTGGGGGGAATCTATTTTTAAAATTTATAATAATTTAAAAATTCATTAATTCAAATTACGAAGGTTTTAGAAAACTAATTCGGTTTCTGACAGCGAATGTTTCCACAGTGATTCCCTGTCTTCCTTCAAACTTAATTTTTCTACATGTTCACTTGATCTCTTCCCATCTGTTCCAGATTCTATGAAATATCACTCCTTGAATCTTTATCTCCTTCCTACTATTAAGATTTCCCTATCTTATAATACACCTGATTCAACCTCTTTCTCTGTCTTCTCTATCCACATTTCTCAGCCTATACCAGTCTCAGAGTTTCAGTTACTACCCCCTAAGTGGCTTTCAATTCTCTTTGGTGCCCAAGCTCTGTGCTAAACATCTCTACCTAAATACTGTGTTAGTAAATGAATACCCGTCCTTTCCAGCTTCTGTCATCACCAGTTCTTCTTGGGTAATACACATCTCATCAGTTTGACTTCCAGGATCCTCATTCAGGCCATCAATAAATTTGGTTAGATTATAACAAAAAACTATTGGGTTACTCTGTTTCAGCGTTAGCTCTTTTCCATCTTTTTACATGCTACCCACCAGTTGAAGCTTCCTAAAGTACAGGTTTGATTATCTTTTTTCCAACTCAACACCAACTGCTTTCAATTCCTTGGACTAATAGCTAATGTTGTTATTTTTCATGTCAAATATCAGTATCTTGGAGGTAAAACATGCCAAGAAAAAAAAAATGTGTATATATATGAAAAACACACATACGACATATATTAGTTTACACAGCCTGTGTATTCTCATTCTATGCCATTGCTCATGCTAACTGTATATAGCTCAGACTAAGAATCTAGCTCTGATCCCTATATCTCCAAATAACAAAATTTTACATATTCTTTAAGCATCAGGTCAAATGTTATATTACCTGGATAGCTCATTCCCTCAGCTGAAAGCAATTTTCCCTGGCCTTGAACTCCTCCTGACCATTAAAGAAGTTATAAGTACATCCCTTGAAATTATTACTTATATATTTATTTTAGATTTCTTATAAGTACATCCTTTTATATTTCTTATAAGTACATCCCTTGAAATTACTGCATATATATGTGTATATATATGTATTTTTTTACATTATATATATGTGTGTGTGTGTATATAAAACATATATATATATATATATCTTTTCCTTTTAGAGTGTATGTTCTCAAGGGGAGGACTCATATGCCACATATTTATCTTTTGCAGTATACTTATTTCCCCAAAGCAACTAACCAGGACCATACATATAGACATAAAGAAAGAACATAATATATTCTTGTCAAATGATAAAAAACTAAGACAGTCTCAAGAAGGAAAGTGCCATATTGAAGATACATCCTATAAAATTAGCTTTATCAACATGTTAAAAATGAGGATTTTAGGGGAGGGAAATGAGCGGATGCATACCTCAAGTGGTTAAGAGTAGTAGATTTCATTCTGTAGATCAGAATACACATGTTCTCTCTGAACTGATCCAGAGTATTTGAGATATATGTTAAAGAATCAGAGAATTATCATGATTATAAAACATGAAATATGGTCTCATATTCTTCCTGATCTCAGTGAGAGAAGGGACACGGGTGTAGAAAGTGGTCCTTACAAAATCAGACCTAGGAGCCTAGGTCCTTACAAGTAAAGTTTTAGAAATTCTAAGATCTATCTACCATGACTTAAGCAACATGACAAATCCAATAAGTACAACAATAAGAACTTATAGTTCATCCCACCTACCATCCAAGGTTAAAGATAATTCCTTTCAGGCATCATTTTTTTAATGAGTACATACTGCTAATATTGCTTTGTATGGGAAGGTTTCCAAGCTACAATAGGATTAATTTAACACTATTATGTTTAGAACCATGCTGGAGTTTGGTACATACCTATGAATTTAAGTTCTTGCTTTGTTAGTGTAGAACTGTCATCTCTGTCTAAAGAAAAGACACACTTTAATTTCAGCTTTTTAATCACCACTTCCTAAAAACAATCATGACAGACAAGTTGAAAAACTGAAGATATTATGATGGGGGCAGGGGTGCAGCGTGGGGGTGGATCATTGGGGTTAAAATCCCCATGAAACCTATGTAAATTTAAAAAATAGCAGTGCTCCAAATAAAGCGAGTACTAATGGCATTACCATTTAACATAAAAGTAATTATTATACAACTCATTCGCATTTGCACTGCTTCCCTCACTCAATTGGAACTTTTCAGGTTCCACCCCTCTCGTAGTTTCAATGAAACAGTGCAGATTCATTTTGCATTATAAAAGTTAACTTGGATACTGGAAACTACTTTTTCTCCCCAGTGGTGGACTCATCAGCCAAATGTGAAAACTATTTTTTCTCCCCAGTGGGGGACTCACCAGCCCAATGTGTTTACCCCTTAAGAGTCTTTGAAGCCTATCTTCAAGGAACCAAGAGCAACAAAGTAGCCTGGATACTTTGAAATGGAAAGTCTTATCTATAGTGTAAGTCTTATACTATCTTATTATCAAGGCTGTATTATATTAGTCAAACTCTTTCCTACATAGGCATAATCACAGCCCTGCCAATAAGACTTCATATCATTTCATCATGTGTTCTATCTCCCACAAACTCATCATAGCTCCTTACCATTTTTCTGATTCAAGACAGCAATTCCAAGGTCTAGGTTTACTACCCATCAGGTGCCTTTCTTTAGAATTTCATTTCAACCCCGTACAATCAATGTGCTTTGCAGCTCTTTACTATGCCCAAGGCCTAGTTCCCTTCCCCTTTTTTAACCTAATTATCCCTTACCAAGTGATTCAGTTTGCGTGTATTGAAACAAACTTAGTAGCACTTGATATATCCTAGGATGTGACAATTTACTGTATAAGCATAAAGAACACACTAACTCGTAAGAAGAAACAATGTCTGTTGTGATTAAAAGGAAATCAGATTTAGAATGAGTAGAATCTCAATCTCCATACTGCTCACAGCGACAACTCATCCCCCATCAGTAATATCTCATTACACATAGTGAATCTCAAATGATATTGGCTTTGGAACAATTATATCAGTATTACTCATCCCACTTCCATGGAATCCTATCCACTTAATGCTTCCCTGAAATAAAAAAGGGACACATATGAAGGACAAAGATTCAGTTTCTTATAAACTAGTCTGACAAGCCTACGTAGAACCCTGTTCTTGAGGAAGAATGTTCACCTCTAAAATCAACTGGCATTTATATGTATACTCATCATAAAGCACATATGTATGAATAATTGGTTAACATTACCTCCTCCAACAAACCCTATTTGTTTAGTGAGCACAGCTGTCTCAAACCAGAAGCATCATAATTAAAGGGAATTTAAAAGCGCAATAAATGGGACGTGGAACTCAATTAGCAATATACTGCTGTGAAAATTGACCTAAGTAAGCTCTTTAGTACTTTATTTATTCATTCATTCATTTATTTTTTAGGCAGAGTCTTGTTCTGTCACCTAGGCTGGAATGCAGTGGTGCGATCTCACCTCACTGCAACCTCTGCCTCCTGGGTTCAAGCGATTCTACCCGCCTCAGCCTCCCAAGTAGCAGGGATTACAGGCATGTGCCATCACGCCTGGCTAATTTTTGTATTTTTAGCAGACAAGAGGTTTCGTCATGTTGACCAGGCTGGTCTCAAACTCCCAAAGTGCTGGGATTGCAGGCATGAGCCACCATGCACGGCCCCAAGGAAATACTATATATTAACAGTCATAGATATTGAGATTAAAGCATATGTCTTGATTTGTTCTTTCTCAGAGAGGATCTTAGGACTTAAGGTGATTCTTTTGGGTATGTGAAATAACTTCATAAACTTTTGAAATTGGGTGTTTTCAGGTAAGGAATTAAGGATAATATTGATACAAAGAAAAGTACTTTAGGAAAACACCTTACCAATTTCAAAAACCAATTTAGGTCCACTAGGATAAATTGCATACGATCAGAGAAATTTAGGAAATTAAAAAATGGAAGAAATAATATTAAAATTATTGTCCCAACAGAGGAAAAAGGAAACAGAAAAGTTACGAAAGGTATATTATATATGTAAAGATATATTTAAAGGTATGCAAAGATATATTATGTAAAGGAAATTCCGGAAACTTTTCAGGCAGTTTGGAAAGGGTAAAACATAGTTATTTAAATATCTTAAAGAATACTACATGGAGAATTAAACAGATGCCCATAAAAGAAAGTGCCTTGTATTTCATGTTTGGTTTTGTGGTGGTGCCTTGGAATGATGCAGCCTAAGAGATTTCATGATCTTAATAAATTGTAAGTTTAATTTCTCTATTTCACTTAATAGAAGTATTTTAAATGCTTGTAAAAATGATGAAACAAGTAGTATGTATTAAAAGATTATAGTTTAGTTTTATAGTCCAGTTGAAAACTAGCATATCATCCTCCTAGTTTTCATTGTCATGTCTCAGGGATGATTTTGCTCTAGTGTTTGCCAGGTTCTTTAATAATTTATTTATGAGCTTTTTTTTTTCCTGACTGGACTATAAACTCATTTAGGATCGAAGTTGGCTTTTATTCATCTTATTTTGTCAGTATTTAGCTAATCATCTAATAGGCTTGCCATAACTGTTGAATGAATGAAAACAGCTGTTAATTGCTACATTGTCCTAGAATAAGTTCCATATATATTCTTGGGAATATGTTCATTTTCTTTGGGAATTAACTTTGTATTAGACCGTCTTGTCTCTTTCAGTATAGTAACTTGGTTCTTTGCTAAATAGAGTTGTTTCATACATTTGTTTTGGCCTTTCTCACTTTTAATATTATTTTGAAATGCTGGTTTAAAGTAGCCAAAGAGGCTGGGCATGGTGGCTCATGCCTGTAATCCCAACACTTTGGGAGGCCGAGGTGGATCACTTGCAGATCACTTGCAGCCAGGAGTTTGAGACCAGCCTGGCCAACATGGTGAAACCCTGTCTCTACTAAAAATACAAAAATTGGCCAGGCGTGGTGGTAGGCACCTGTAATCCCAGCTACTTGGGAGGCTGAGGCAGGAGAATCGCTTGAACCCAGGAGGCGGAGATTGCAGTGAGCTGAGATCACACCATTGCACTCCAGCCTGGCAACAGAGTGAGACTCTGTCAATATTTTCTTGGTCATTACACTTGTATTAATTTTTCCAGAATAAGTTTTGTGAAGTAATAAATTTTAGTTTTATAAAGTTCTATTTAAAACATTTTGAAATGCATCAGTTGCCAGAATAAATGATGAAAATAATTCAGAGTTTCAACTGTCTAATGAAAGATTTTTTTTGAAGTTTCACAAATGTGAGATAAATATGACTAAGATATATTTCACAGACACAAAATAAGTGCCTAGAGAAAGAGTAGAAACCAACTGGAGGAAGTATTAGAACATCACATACGAGAACCCGAAAGTATTGAAAAAAGAAAGGGTTCTTTTTTTTTCTTTTGAGACGGAGTTTCACTCTTGTTGCCCAGGCTGGAGTGCAATGGCATGATCTCAGCTCACCGCAACCTCCGCCTCCCGGGTTCAAGCGATTCTCCTGCCTCAGCCTCTTGAGTAGCTGGGATTACAGGCATGCGTCACCATGCCTAGTTAATTTTGTATTTTTAGTAGAGACAGGGTTTCTCCATGTTGATCAGGCTGGTCTCGAACTCCCGACCTCAGGTGATCCACCCGCCTCGGCCTACCAAAGTGCTGGGATTACAGGTGTGAGCCACTGCACCCGACCAGAAAGGGTTAATTCTATCAAAGAGTCTGAAAAAGAAAAAACTTTGCAGGAAATAAATAAAACTACACTTAGTTTTAATGACTACTTTTACTAGATAAAGTTGGAAGTCCACATCAACAGATACAAACAAGGTCTATGTCAGAGATGTTGCATATAATAGTATAATGTATCAGGAAACTACAAATAGCTTCTATTGATGCAACGTAAAGTTGGGGAGAAGAAGGGATGACACTGGAGAGTCAGATTACAACGAGATGAAGAAAAACTCCACATGCCATGTGAAGGAGTATAAATTTTATCCCATAAGTCCCAGAAAATTCTCTAAGTAAGACAGTTTGACATGGTCTGATTTGCACTTTAGATTGACCATTAATTCCAGTAGCATCTAGAAAAGGGACTGGATAATGGAACGAAGGTTAGGAGTTTGCTGAAACAGTTCAGACGACAATATAGGACATTACCAAGTGGGCAGTGGAAATATAAAAGAAAAGGAAGTTAAACTGATCAATAATAGAAAAAAGCTTTTTTAAAAAAACATGACTAGGAAAATGAGAGGGCAGAGTTGAGGTTAACTTCCTAGCATAAGTCTGGCTGAGGTGGCTGAGTACCATACGGAAATGAAGCTTCTTAGGTTTTTGGAAATATAAATCTGCAACTCAGGAGAAAAGTCTAAATTGGAGGCATAGATTTGGAAAGCTAATAAGCACAGGAGATATTTGAAGCTGTAGGTATGCAGATTTTCCAAGGGAGTATGTAAAAGAGTCAAGGAGAAAATACTGTGAGAAAAACAATCAAGGACTAATCAAATAAATCATAAAAAGCAGATATGATCTCAGAAAGAAATGTATTAGCCAGGCATGGTGGTACACACCTGTAGTCCCAGTTACTCAGGGGACTGAGGTGGGAGGATCACTTGAGCCCAGGAGTTGAAGGTTGCAATGACCTATGATCATGCCACTGCACGCCAGCCTTGGTAAGAAAGCAAGATTTTGCTTCTAAAAAAAAAATAAAAACTTAGAAAAAAAAACTAAAAATATATAGCTGTAAAGAACTATGTTCATAAAGATAAAAGATTCCAATCAATAATCCAACCATCCATCTTAAGTAACTAGAAAAGGGTATGGCTGGGCGTCGTGGCTCACACCTGTAATCCCAGCACTTTGGGAGTCCACCTGGGAGAACCCAGGAGGCAGAGGTTGCAGTGAGCTGATATCACGCCATTGCACTCCAACCTAGGCAACAAGAGCAAAACTCTGTCTCAAAAGAAAAAAAAAAAAAAAAAAACCCGAACACAAAAAATTTCAAGAGAAAATAAAAGAGAAAGAAAAGCTAACTGTTGGGGGAGAAAAAAGAGAAAATACAGTACAAATTTTTCCAACAAAGTCCAAGAGACTCTCCCTCAATCACCCACAGGATAAACATCATTCACTAGGTGTCAATCCTACACTTGCAATGAAAAATATAAATCCATTACATTGGTCCCATGATGTCTACTTTCTTTGAATCTCAAGTTTATTTTCTAAAGATGTTCAGGATTAAAGAATAAAAGAACAATTCTAAATTTACTTATGCAAACTGAAGATGATGTTAAACAACTTCAGCTTTTATACTTTTCTCCCAAAGAACAGTAACAAGTTTATTTTATATTCAAGGATGCTGCCAATCACTTTTCCCTGTAGATACCTAGTATTGAGGGACTCCTTGTTATCAAGAGTATTCATTATCTAAGCTTCCACAAGCACAGGTTGCATAGGGAGGTAAGAATTATGAATCAATCTATTAATTAATAAAAAATAACTTATAAGATAAGCCTCCCACCCTAACAGCGCCCACCCTTAAAGCAACAAGAGTGTCTATGCCTGCTCATTATGCCATTAGTCTCTTGTTGGCTGTAGATACTGCAAACATCTGACAATAAAATCCAAGCGCAACACATATTGACTGCAAATTAAACCACATTAGCAAAATATGCAAGATTTCATGAAGTTAATGAAAAATGTATTGAAAAACTGCTTGGAATCAAGCAGTCTTGAACAAATGAGTCTTGAACATAAACAGTCTTGAATAAATGAGATCAGTTAATAAATGAAAAAGAAAATCAACAAAGTTGACACTACCCTCAAAATGAGAATTTTTGAACATCAAAGGGTTATGAAGGTTCTTTGAGGAAACTGAAGAAACCTCCAAACATTTTTTGCAAGAATAATCTTCATTATAATTACATTACAAAGACAGTATTTGCCTTATATGCTGATTTCAGAACCCAATGCAGCAAAAGATACAACTCCACTATAAAAAACCTCGTACCAAACCAGATGTAATTTAAAATACTATCTTCCATTTATTCACTATGTGGAATATGGGGTTAAATAATTAAAGTATTCTATATATTAATAAACCCAAACCCTAAAAAATAAAATTCATATTCCAAGCAAATTCTTCACGTAGGTACCAATAATTACCTGCACTGGCAAGAGAGACCTCAAAAGAACTAGAAAAACCATTTGTAAAAATAAAAAGATTTTCAGAAACTTTAAACGCTATTATCATTTTGCCTTAAAAAGAAACAATAAAAGCCAAACTGATGAACCATATTGACCTATCATCCTCTTATTAGCAATCTACAAAAATTTTTCACTAAGGTGCTGAACAATTGACTCACTGCAGCACTGGATTTCATCTAACCAATAGAACATGCCAGCTTTCAATCGAGATTCTCTACAAAAGGCAACCTTTGTGATAAACGAACCACTAGAGAAGATTCTAATAAAACTTACCATTGTGTATTGCATTCAGCAACTCTGAGAACGCTTTTAAGTAAGGAAAAAAGGACTTCAGGTTAAGATCATTCTCAAACACACAAAAGAAATACATAGCCATAGACTGAATCAGTATAATAAAATTTCAGTAAGTCTATCATGTATCATTGTTTGAATCATTAAAACTGCAAGCTTGGCTCCATTTTTACACGGTATAAATTTTTAAATATTGTATTCCACTTGCCAACACATTATCAACTAAATTGAGATATGTTAGATATATTGCCAAAACAACAATAATTTCCTTAGTAATAAATATGTATTTCAAATCACTTTTTAAAAGACATTTATGTCAACGTAATGTCTTGCTAAAAGCGAGTCACTATAGGATGCAATTCTATATAGGTAAATCTGCCTTAGGGCACACTTAACAATATTTATCATAAAGAAAAACCTCATTATATCATCTTACTCTATCGAATATTCTCATTTCCTAGACATCAGTATAAGAAAGCCTCAACACATGTAGAAGACTAATCAAGAAAGCCACCTAGTGCAAATATACAAATATTGAAACATTATAAGAATAGAAAACAAAATGTTTAAAAAAAAAAAAAACATTATTTCAAGAAGGAGGTGAAGTTACAATTCTGCAATAAAAGCACCATAATAAAGGACCAACAATAATTAAAATTTATACACAATTTGACTGTACTATGGGCCCATAACAAGACAAAGCAGTATATTATCTCTGCAGGAGAAAAAATATGTTCAATTAAGAAAAACTTGCATTTTGGAAAATTAAAATTGAGAGGTTCCCAGGTGGCATAACATACTAGAAAGAGCACCAGAGGAGACAAAAGGCCTGGGTTATCAACCCAGTTAAACAACTTACTAGTTGTTGGGCAAGCTCCATCATGCCGATACTGCATGGAAATTTCTGTTGAGAGGAAGGAAAAAAGAAATCAGTGAATAAATTGTCAGTGACTCAAGGGTAAAAAAAGAAATAGGCCGGAAAAATGGAGGGAAATTCACCTAAAAGTGTAGTTAAGTAGGCCAACTAGAACTTCAAAAACAAAAATTATAAGCTAATAATTGGGATGTGAGGGGGAGAACCAAATGTGACAGAATTCTCATAAATCTTAATGGGAGTGTGTGGAATGTATCTGTGTGTTTTTACAAAGAGTGAGGAAAAGACATAAGGGCTTACAAATGAATCTGTATAACAAGTGTCTGAGAATATAAGGCTTCATTAATGCGAGAAAGTATGATTCGCAACATGATACACTAATACGCTTTAGATTTTCGGGGTTTTTTTTTTTTTTTTTTTTTTTTGAGACAAAGTCTCACTCTGTAGCCCAGGATGGAGTGCAGTGGCACAATCTCAGCTCACTGTAACCTCTGCTCCTGGGTTCAACGTGATCCTCCCACCCTCAGCCTCCAAATAACTGGGACTACAGGTGCACGTCACCACGCCCAGCTAATTTTTGTATTTTTTAGTAGAAACAGGGTTTCAACATGTTGGCCAGGCTGGTCTGGAACTCCTGACCTCAAGTGAATATGCCTGCCTTGACCTCCCAAAGTCGCTGAAATTACAGATGTGAGGCCACCGCTCTAGGCCTAGGTCATTCATTAGATGGGAAGAGTTTGGCAAAAACATTTGAATACTGTTTTCATGTGGAAATCCAATTTAAGTATGAAAATTTGTAGTTGATATATGAGATCAAAACATTATGAACTTACATGGCAGCATAAAAACTATTAAGTTACACTAGCTCACTATCTTGGAACCATTCATTTTTGAGAAAGATGGCTGCGTGTGGTGCTCAAGCCTGTAATCTCCCAGCACTCTTTGGAGAGGCCAAAGTAGGCACATGAGTCAGGAGTTTGACACCAGCTGCCCAATATGGTGAAACCCCCGTTTCTTACTAAAAACATAAAAATTAGGCCGGGCACGGTGGCGCATGCCTGTAATCCTAGCTACTTGGGAGGCTGAGGCACAAGAATCGCTTGAACGTGGAACAACAGGTTTGCAGTGAGCCGAGATTGTACACACGCACTCAGCCTGGGCGACAGTGCAAGACGCGGTTTTCAAAAAAAAAAAAAAAAAAAAAAAAAAAACAAGGAAAAGAGAAAGATAACAAATGAGTAAGGCATTATTACCCTTACTCTTTTATTCCACCGAAACAAGAACAAGCAGAAGGTGCAGAGAACAAGGCAATAAAACACTACTAAAAGCAAAATCTGCTCAGAATATGAGAACTTAATTTCTATATGGCTTTCTAAGGGAAATATAACTGATAAAACTGGACCAAGGCTGTGACTCAAAGGACCTGGGTTTGCTAATTCTGGAAGCAACTGGTATTCCCTTATGGCTAACACTGTTGGCAAAAGTTTTTTAAAGGAGGGATACCTGGGAATTCCTTGGATATTATTTAACCAAAAACGTAGCCCCCAAATCCAAAACTTTTTGAGTGCTCCCATGACTCTCATGCTCATTGCAGCATTTTTGAATTTCTGATTTTCAGATTAGGGATGCTCAACTGGTAAGTATATATAATGCAAGTATTGCAAAATCCCCCAAAAATCTGAAATTCCAAACACTATGGTCTCAAGAATTTTTAATAAATGTTACTCAACCTGTACTTTGAAAGGACATACTACGTCCCAGGAAATGCTAAACCATCAACCTCTTGCACTTTGAGTTCTTTATGCCTCGTGTTCCATTACTGGAACCTAAATTTGTGGGAGTTCTTTATATCCTACTACTCAAGGTCATCACCAGGGTCTGATTTTTCACACAGAAAAAGTTGCAACCTCCAGCATAAATGGGTTAATGAATATCAGACTTTTCTCAGAGAAAATAACAAGATGATTTTAGTGAAGAAAAAGATGTTCTCAACTTTCACTTTAGTAAATCATAAATTTTTGTAATGTGGTGAAGATAAATAGCAAGGAGGAAAGGACAGATTGTCAACTCTTCCAAAACGGTTTTTGATGTTTCAAAAGACCCCGTGCCTAACTGTTCAGAACTCAAAAGAACGTACATAGAAAAGAGTTCAGTCAAAAGAAGAACAAAACCTATAAGCCCCAAACTTAAAACTCTTAGAAATCACTATTTTTCTTTTTTTTTTTTGAGACGGAGTCTCGCTCTGTCGCCCAAGCTGGAGTGCAGTGGCCGGATCTCAGCTCACTGCAAGCTCCGGCCGCCCAAGTTTACCGCCATTCTTCTGCCTCAGCCTCCCGAGTAGCTGGGACTAGCAGGCGCCTTGCCACTCTCGGCCCCGGCTAGGTTTTTTGTATTTTTTAGTAAGACGGGGGTTTCACCGTGTTAGCCGGATGTTCTTGATCTCCTGACCTCTGTGATCCGCCCGTTCTCGGCCTTCCCAAAGGTAGCTGGGATTACAAGGCTTGAGCCACCGCCCGGCCCTGAAATCACTTTAAACACACTATTTTTCCATTTGGTACACGTCCACTATAAAACAGGTCATTTATCCAGGACACACTTCAATCCATAATAAAATTTTACTAATTCTAAACTCTTGAATCAAACATTTTATTAGGTGTCTTTTCCTAGGCTTCTTACTCTAATTTGATCTCGCGGTTTTCCCAGAAAAATGTACTTCTTGCTACATTTGAACATGTCATGAGACGATTTTGATTACTATTTAAACAAACTAATACTCTTAGCCAATAATTTCAAGAGGGATTCACAACATTAGAACCTGACTCTACTTCCTGCTTTACATCCTAGTTGTAAAGGTAGAAATAACAAACATCAAACAGGGAGGCTATCCTATTTCACAAGGCTGTTTTTCAAGGATTCAAATGAGAGAGTAACTAAAGAGTCCTAAGAAACTTAAACGGTACCTCAAATAAGACATTATATAAGCATTGCTAAAGCTGAATGAGACAGGATTTTTTCTTTTCCATTAATGAAATTCTTTAATAACGATAATTAGCCACAACAGTTGTTTTAAGAAAAAGATCATTAGCTTATCAGTCTGATTTCTTCAGTCTTGGATTCATTCTCCATGAACCCATCCTACCCTATAAAACATTACCTTCACAGTGCCACAAACACAAGCTTCCTTGTTCCTATTAGGCTTTTCCCTCAAAAGAGCCTTTACTTTCTTTTCAGTAATGTTGGCCTTCATTTTCTGCCTACTTCAAAGTACAATTCAACCTCTCCATGATCTTTTCCCAACTTAAACAATATTTTTCATCACAAACTGGGCAAAATAATACTACATGAAAAGCTTAAAAATAGCCAGGCCCAGGGGCTCATATCTGTAAATCCCAGCATTTTGGCAAAGCTGAGGCAGTGGATCATGAGGTCAGAGATGGAGACCATCCTGGCCAACATGGTGAAACCCTGTCTCTACTAAAAATAACAAAATTAGCTGGGCGTGGTGGCACGCACCTGTAGTCCCAGCTACTAGGGAGGCTGAGGCAGGGGAATTGCTTGAACCTCGGGAGGAAGAGGTTGCAGTGAGCCGAGATCGGGCCACTACACTCTAGCCTGGGTAACAAAGCAAGACTCCAACTCAAAAAAAAAAAAAAAAAAAAGAAAGAAAAGAAAAAAAGCAAAGTTTTACAAATAAAGTAATTTGTCTTACAGCTTAGCTATTAACACTCAGAGGGCAAGTACAAAATCATACAGGATACTACTAACCACATGACATACACTCATGAGAAAACTAATGGTATTCATTCATTTTTAAAAATGATGTTTAACATTTACTATGTTCAAAGCACTGTGTTGGAAGTGGGGATACAATTGTGAATGTCAGAAACAGCCCCTAGCCTCAGGACTATTATAGTGAATGTTACAGTTTAACTAACGTGCTTACAAAGGTCATCTTCGACATTACTAAATTATCAACCTGTCATTCAAGAAAGTCAATCTTTTAGAAAGAGCATCATGAAAAACAATTTGTGATGATGTAATACATAATACAGTTGTCTTCTGTATTTGTGGGATTCCACATCTGGGGATTCAACCATCCTTGCATAGAAAATATCTGGAGGAAAAAATTGAGTCTGTAATGAATGTGTACAGACTTTTTTTCCTGTCATGATTCCCTAAGCAATACAGTATAACAACTATTTACATAGCATTTACATGATACTAGATATTACAAGAAATCTAGAAATGAATAAGTACACAGGAAGATGTGCATAGGTTATATGAAAATACTATAACATTTTATAACAGAAACCTGAGCATCTTGGACTTTGGTATTTATTTGCAGGAGGTCCAGGAACCAATTCCGCATGGATGCCAAAGGATGACTGTATACATTTTCTCCTTCCTAGTTATTTATTATATGGGGGGGAAGCTTCTTGTTTCCCCAATTACTAAACGATTTCTCAATTTCAAATTAGTTCGAAGGAAAAATTAACTTTTCATACTAGTAAGAAACACTATTGCCGAAAGTTAAATTATTGGTTCAAATTTGTTCAGGGATCTCTTTGCTTAAAGTAATACTGACGTTACAATAGTGTGGTGTTAGACACTCATCAGCAAACACCTGTTAAACTGTCTAATTAAACGGCTCTGGACCCAGGGAAAATGCATATCTCCATCACTTAAAACCTAAGAGAATTCTGTCTCAGTTTCTTGTCCTATATAAGAAGGAATAACACTTAATGCTTATTAACTGCTTAACACAGTGTGTGGCACACACTCAGTGTTCATCAGCAGTTAGCAATTCTTAACTTATTATGACTAAAGCAGTGTAATTCCTAAATATTCATGGCATGAAGTCAAGCCTCTTCTGGATAAGGATACACTTTTTACTATTATCAATAAATGTTCTGCACTAAGTCTTAAAATGTTTATTAACATATATAAAACTAAAGAATATATCTCAAATAGTTTTCAATAATCTTATTCCATGATTATAGCTTTAACAAGACATATAACATCTTCAGAGTAATTTTGTTTGTTTGTTTGTTTGAGATGGAGTCTCGCTCTGTCTCTCAGGCTGGAGTGCAGTGGCCTGATCTCGGCTCACTGCAACCTCTGCCTTCCGGGTTCAAGTAATTCTTCTGCCTCAGCCTCCCTAGTAGCTGGGACTACAGGTGCGTGCCACCAAGCCCAGCTAATTTTTGTATTTTTAGTAGAGACGGGGTTTCACCATGTTGGCCAGGATGGTCTCGATCTTTTGACCTCAGGTGATCCGCCCGCCTCAGACCCCCAAAGTACTGGGATTACAGGTGTGAGTCACCACGTCCAGCCTCAGAGTAATTTTTAAACACAACGTTTTAAAAATTTCTCGGCAGATAAATTTCTTAGGTCATTTATTTTTGTGAACTAATACTTGTAAGAATTTCCCCCTAAATTACTATATTTACCTAATGGTAAGAGATACAAATCCTTTTTTTCTGCCACAAGAGTAGCATAAACACTGCCCTCTGAAAGCAACCATCCTATGAGGAACACTACTCCTTATACCTAACATCTCCCCAAATCTATAACAGATAGGAAAATATTTTCAGGGATGTAAATCAATATCTTAATTTTATTAATTTGGAGACGTGTTTCAAATAAGCATTCAAATGTAATTTCTGAAATTTAGAAATTCTCAGACTATGCTTCAAAACTACAGAAAATCAGTAAAGAGGTCTCCCTACAAAAGCAAATCTAGCTTTATCTTCTCAGTAAGGTACTCCACGTGATTAATTACGCCTCTTGCTAAAAATGAAGAGAAATTCGATTTTTTTTATTAAATTTGTCTAAAGGTACTTTTTGTGACAAGCGGGCTTATTGCTAAGCCCTTCTGGTCTCCAAGGAAACATATAAATAAAAGCATACATTCAAATATGCAATATATTTAAACCTTTTCTATGAACTTCTTTCTCACTACAATTTATATATATTTTCCCCCTCTAAAATAGTGAGCCTCAACCAGAGGTAGTTTTGGTCCCTGGGACACATTTAACACATTAAACAATGTTTGGAGACATTTTTTATTCCCACTGTGGGAAGGGAGAGTGTGATGATGCTCTTGGCCTGTAGGGGGTAGGGACTGGGGATTCTGGTAAATATCCTGCAATACACAGGGTAACACATGAAGACTTGTCGGATCCAAATTGTCAGTAACGCTAAGATTGATAAATCCTGCTCTAGAACCATCCTTAATGCATCTGTAGATTCCACTCATTTCTGAATACAAAGAAACTCCTGGCTACGTGATCTTGGGCATCTTATTTTAGCTTTCAAAGCCTCAGCGTCACCAGCTGTAAAATGAGGACATTTTATAACCGTTGTTAAATGAGATAATAAATATTAACATAACTGGCACATGACAAATCACAGTTATAGTTACTATTTCTCACATCTGACCTTTACATATAATATTTTCTCTCTTGGAGTGGTCTTTTTTCTGTTTGTTTACTGAAGTTAGTACTCTGTATTCACAACTATTAAAACAATCTAAAACTCTGTATTTATAAAATAAACATGAGCATTCTTCATTAAATTGTATCATTTTTCCATACCATTTCCTACCTACCCTTGCCACCAACTAACAGAACAAATACAATCCATAATTTATCTTAGCTAAATTCTTGTTATTTCAACAATCAGAAATCTAAAACTGGAAGAAAGGTTTCAACATTTATTGAAAATCATTTATCTTAAATTCAAGATGCAATTTAAAAGATAGATGCTGACATTTCAGTTAATATCAACTGTTAAGGGTCTGTCTAAAAACATGCATTTTGAAGAAATTTTTAAAAATTGAAAATAATATTCATAACACAAATTGCAAGTTACAGAAACATCCCAATGGTGTGAATAACAATGTATATCAACTCACTTGTCGTATAATAAAAAGAATGGTAAAATTATGAAGTATATTTGAAAACAAAATTAAATCATTTCGGATACCTCCTGAAATAAAATGTGACTGCTAGATTCCACAAACTTAAATCATTTATCACTGATATAAAAATGTCCCAGGATAGAGTAATTCAAGTAATACCTGTGTGAGAAGTCATTTAGAAAATGATGACTAAAATTGAAGTTTAGAGAAAGGGAGCTCAAAACAAAACAAAAAACAAAGGGTAAAAACACTCACACCCTAAATGTAAATTCTGCATTGGTTTTTTAAAAATACTGTGCAGGTGAAACAAAAATAGGAAATACATTCTAAGCGTTTTGTAAGTAATGAATGACTGACCAATAGACTGTTTAGCCTACATAAGTAAAATCAAATTAGTGCCGAACATCTTTCCCAAAAATCAAATCATCTAAGATTTTAAGACATTTTTGTATTTTCCATTAGAGAATTTAAAAACTAAAAAATTTCACTTTAATTAAATGTCATTTAGTAATTCCAAGTATTATCGTAACAACAGTTGAAAACATTTTGAGACAGAAGAAGGGAGGTGGTGGGAGTGAAGGAAAAAAATAATAGGTAAACCCCTACCTGAACCAACTGGAGATGAGCCAACACTAAGGCTCTGTAAACTTCCATTCCTGAGCAATGTAGGAGATTTCTGCAGACTAGAGCTTGTTATGCTTCCTGCAGCTGATGCTACAGATGATGTTGGTGAAGCAGAAGAAACTGAGAGATGAGAAACATTCTCTTGATTTTTGTTTCCTTTCGGTCTACCAGGTCCATGCTTACTTTGTTTATTTCCTTTCCTTTTCTTTTCCTTTACAGTTTCTTCTTCTATGCCAGAAGTTTGAGCCCGCTTATATCCTGCTGTAGGAAGGCTGGAATTACCCAAATCTCCAGGTGAATTTTCAAAGCTTTTAGGCTGTGAAATAACAGCTGAGGTTGAAGGGAGACCAATTAAGGTACTAAAACTATTTACCCCCCCTTCCTGGCTTCCAGACTCTCCTTTATGTACATCTTTGGTTGCTGATGACTGTTGGGAGTGAGAGTAACTGTCATTACGCAGATCTGAGTCTGTAAAGCTCAGGAAATCCTGGGGAGACTGTACTGAACTTCCAGAAGATGATTTTACACTGCCTGGAGTTCCTGAAAAACTGCCTGTATTAAAAAAAAAAAAAAAAAAAAGGCGGAGTGGGGGGACAGAAAAATTGGATGCTAAAGTTCCCATAAGCAGCAGACATGATATAATCATTAAAGAGAAGAGAGAGTTAAAAAAATTAACTACAACACTTAGGACATCAGTATATTAAGACTTGAAAACTTATTACTGAAGTCAAATTTATCCCTAAAATTACCTTTAAAAATACGTGTCATTTTATAGATGGTATTAATGTTTACTGTGGAATTGCAAGCTATTACTTGTAAGATATAAGATGTTTTTTATTTCACCTACCTTTTGCCACAGCAACATCCGCAATTCTCCCCGTAACACCTCATGTATGCCTGAGGAAGGACTAAAGAACAGTAGTCTCCTTTCCACAGTCATGCAAGAAGACGTTAACAAGACTATAATCTGACTCTAAATGTATAGGGGAATTTCTTTTTTGAATATTGAAGGTATGATTGAAAATGTTCCCAATATACAATAAGAACCTAAAGACGTTTCCTAGGTTATGAGTTCTCAGTTTTAAGACATACCAATCATTGTTATTGTTCAGCTGAATCTACCACAATAGAAAATGGATTTGACAAAATAATGATCATATGGAATCTAATCTATGCCTCACATTCTCCCAATCCAATTTTCATGGAACTTCATAAAGACATCAGCCATCACTGCTTATTCTTTCTTTAAAGAACATCAGTACCCCACCATGCCATTCTAAGATATAAGAACCTTAGGCTGGGTACAATGGCTCATGCCTGTAATCCCAGCACTTTGGGAGGCCAAAGCAGGAGGATCATGAGGTCAGGAGTTCGAGACCAGCCTGACCAACATGGTGAAACCCCGACTCTACTAAAAATACAAAAATTAGCCAGGCGTGGTGGCATGGGCCTCTAATCCCAGCTACTCAGGAGGCCGAACCCGTCTCTACAGATAATTTAAAAATGAGCTGGGCATGGTGACGCATGCTTGTGGTCCCACCTACTTGGGAGACAAAGGTAGAGGCAAAAGCTAACTGAGGGTCTGAAGCGGGAAGAATGCTTGAGCCCAGGAGGTCAACCTTGCAGTGAGCCACGAACACACGACTGCCCTCCAGCCTGGGCAACAGAGCAAGGCCCTGTCTCAAAACACACACACACACACACACACACACACACACACACACACACACAACCTAGAAAACAGGTTAGTGTGTTAATCTGTTAAACCTCAAACTTCGTAACAAATGCATTATTAATCAACAACTTATTTACTGAGATCTATGTAAATCCCCTAAAAATTGTCCAGTATTTATCTACTAAAAAATGTAAAATGTAAACCTTAATTGTATTTATTTATTTAGTGGGTTTTGTTTGTTTTTGTTTTTTGTTTGTTTGCTTTTTGAGGCAGGGTCTTGTTCTGTTGCCTAGGCTGGAGTGCAGTGGCACAATCACGGCTCACTGTAGCTTCAACCTCCCTGGGTCAAGCAATCCTCGCACTTCAGCCTCCTGAGGAGCTGGGGCCACAGGCGCACATCACCACACCTGGCTAATTTTGTTTGCCTGTCCAAGGAGACAGGGTCTCACTCTGTCACCCAGGCTGGAGTGCAGTAGTGCAATCTCAGCTCACTGCAGCCTCAACCTCCTGGGCTCAAGCAATCTTTCCACCTCAGCCTCTGAAGTAGCTGGGACTACAGGCATGTGCCACCATGCCCGGCTAATTTTGTATTTTTTAGAGAGACAGGGTTTTGCCATGTTGCCTAGGCTGGTCTCCAACTCCTAAGCTCAGATGATCCACCTGACTGAGCCTCATAAAATACTGGGATTACAGGCATGAGCCACTGTGCCCAGTTCACACACAGCTAATTTTTAAATTTTTTATAGAGATGGGGTCTTACCATGTTGCCCAAGCTGGCCTCAAGAGTTCTGCCCGCCTCAGCATCCCAAACTGCTAGGCTTATAGATGTGAGCCACCATGCCTGGCCAACCTTAATTGTTTTTAATGTTCAGGAAATATAAATAAAGAACACTTATAGAAAAGATGCAGGAACAGTGGCTCAAGCCTGTAATCCCAGCACTTTGGGAGGCCAAGGCGGGAGGATCACCTGAGGTCAGAAGTTCGAGACCAGCCTGGCCAACATGGTGAAATCCCATCTCTACTAAAATACAAAAATTGGCCAGGTATGCTGGCATGCACCTGTAATCCCAGCTACTCAAGAGGCTGAGGCACAAGAATCACTTGAACCCGAGAGGCGTAGGTTGCAGTAAGCCGAGATTGTGCCACTGCATTCCAGCCCGGGCAACAGAGCAAGATTCCATCTCAAACAAAAAGAAGGGCTGTTCTATAGAACTCAAAGCAAAGCTCCAGCTTTTATTATTTTTCTCCCCAATTTTAAGCATTATTCTATGTCTAGTTAAACATTAAAATTACAATTCAACTCTGGAAACACAAATCATATTATAAAAGGAAAGAAAAAGTACCAGAAAAATTTAATAGGAAACACTATCTTTAAAGTAATCTTACTATAGCAACTAATCATATAATAATCTAGAACATCCATTAGTTATAAGTTCCAAAAAAAAAAAAATTCTTTTACAAAGCATAACTATTATTAACCATCTTAAAGATAAGTATTTTAACTAAAACATCACTAATACCTTGAGGAAAAGGGCTAGCTGCTGACACAGTTGTTCCTGGATTTCTTCCACCACCAGGCTTTCTTCCCCTTTGACCTGAGCTGTGAGCTGAAGATTTCTTCCCTTTGCCCTCTGACCCTCTAGTCTCTGAAACATCTTTTCCACTAGAGGTGTGTGCAGAGACTTCCTGGAAATTTGCATTTGTAAATCGTGCAGTAGTATCTTCCAAGCGCTTCAGTGATCCAGATATAGAGTTGTTGCTAGTGCTTGTATAAGTCTAACATTTTGATTCAAAAGGGAAGGAAAAAGAGTTGATTACATTTTAGTTACAGAAAACAATAGGTGACACATTAACAATAAGAACTTGCAGAATAAACACAAAGTTTCTGTTCTAAAAATAAGTCAGTTCACCTAAGAAAATCATCCAAAAACAATTTAAGTCTATTATAATTACTTAAAAAAAAAAAGAAGAAAGAAAAGAAAAAGCATAGATAATTTAAAGATGGCTGTTTCAGGATCAAATTGCAACAACTAGTAAAAGTATGTATTAGTTATATTTATGAAGTGACACACAGTAATACTGAAGATAAGCATTTGTCAAGCAACATCATTTTTTTTTTTAACAATGTCTACACTTCTTAGACATGAAATTAAAATAAGCTTCAGTGTTCAACACAGGAAGGTGACAATAAGGGACTAACGTGCTACAAATCCATTAGAGGACCATATCCATGAGTTTATAAGGCTAGCGGAGGACAGAGCGAAACTTTTTAAAGAATTCAGGTGAGGGTCCCTTTGCAAAAAAAACAGAAAGATTTGAAACAGAAATCATTTTTCCAATTGTTATGTTGAGGAAAAAGTTATATATCGCAAAGGTAAGATTTTATAACTATCCCTAAAAGTGGCTCTCAATTATTCCCTTGATCTGCATTTGTTAAGGAAAAAGGATGAAGATCTGTATTAACAGTTTCCAGTTTTAGTAATCATTTTTATTACAAGGTATACCCAAATAATGGCGAATACATGAAAGTGTATTATACCAGATGCACATTAATCACCATGTTTTGAAATCAAAGGTTTATAAAGTCCACTAGGGCAAAGGTTTTGATGTCGCCATTAAGTTCACTAAAGTATCTGAGGCATGGACAGCATAAAGTTCACGAAGTGCTTGCAACATAATCGGCACTAGATTTTTGTTGGATAAGTGAATACTTTTTTATTGTATGTATCTAAAATCTCTGCTATAAAAATGAAAAAATTTGAAAATATGCAAAAGTGAATTTTCCCACATACAGCCACCACTCAACACAAACCATCAGATGAATATGAAAAACGAGAACATGACAATAAAATCAAGTTTCAAAATGGCTGGCATTTTTAGCAAAAACAATTTCAAAAAGAGGAATAAAAGAAAAAATTAAGTGTTTGGAAAACCAAATCTTTCTTGCGGCTTTTCTATCAACCTGTTGCCATCCCCAGGCCCCATTATCTCAGTGCCAATAACGGATATGCATCATTAAATAGAAGAAATATTTCATAAAAACAAAGTACTCCACTATTCTAACAAACTACAATCCACAAACAAGAACAAACGTTTCAAAGTAAGTTTAAAAGGAAAAAAAATCCCATTTTACAAACCAATCACATTTAAGCTGATGAAACTTCATGGCTTACTTTAGAAATATGAACCTTTTCCATGCTGGGCAGGTCAATTTGGAAACCACCCCACCTCATTTTTCAAATACTTTTTCCAATTACTTGAGTTGATCCTGAGGTTCTCCATTCCTCTCACATCTGATCCTTGCATGACCTAGTGAAGTTTAAAAGTCATCTAAGAAAACACAGTGGTGTTCTTCACTCACGTATTTTTGTTCATGTATCAAATAAAGAATGGAGAGAAAATTGGGTCGAGTACTATAATGAAAATACACTATTCACTTCCACATGACAATCTACATTAGAGATGGTCATTTTTCCCACTTATTTAAGAGAACATCCTTGCTCAAACCCTCAAGTATAAATCTGTCCATAAAAACCCATGAAAACATGACATTTGGAAGAAACAGTATTACAAAGAAAGCAATGAATAAAGCAATCAAATTTCAGTGACAAAAAAATCATATTAAAACCATAACTGAACATTTTTAAAATGTCCAAACCTACATTTCAGAACATAATCAGACTTAATATGAAAAAAATGAATTTTAGCTTCAGATGTTAACAATTTTTAAATTATACATAATGACACTCACTAAGGCAATGCAGGGTTCATTCAAAGAGAAACCTCTATTTTAATTCCACGTTTAAAAGTGATTTTAAAAGTACTTATTCCATAATGTGCTGTTGGGACAATATGGCACTAGGGAACTCCATTATAAACATACAACAATCAACTCAAAATCGAGGAAAAGACAGGTAAAAGGAGACTAGAGGGAGGTAGGAGATGGCTGAAAGACACACTATGAGTAAGCCCAAGACTAAATTCACAAAATCTTGTTTCCTCACTTTTGTATTCTAAATGTCTATCATAGTACGAACATCTCACTGCTCTGAGTGTAATTCTTGTACATAATAATATTTATTTTTTTCATGCAAACTGGACCACAAAATGCAAACTACTTCATTTGCTGCTCTACTGAAAAATATAAGTTCTTTTGTAGTTGTTCTTTTCTACTGGAGATAAAACTGGATATCTGGCTGTATTGAGAGTCTCTGAAGTGCTGCATAAATACTTTGTTCTACATTGTGATTTATAGGCAACTTAATCTTTTAAAAGGCTAATTCAGAATACATGTAATTTTTATTTCATGGCCAACTATTAGTCCAAAGATAAGCTGCAACACCAATATACCTACACAATACCATTAAGTGGGAACAAAAATTATTTACTTCAAACAAAAATTTAAAACTAGATCCAAAATTAAATAATGACTCTATAACAAGTAACCAAAAAAAAGCAGCTATGATTATTTACAAAAGGTATGGTTGCCTCAGATTAGTCTACAAGGCTCTGTCATCTAAATTGGTGACAAGAAGTGCTATGCCTTCAACCATTAGAAAACATAATGTACTGCTTAAAATTTTAAAATAAAATTATGTACTATTCAAGTGTCCCATAAAAACCCACATACTTTGTACCAAGCCTATCTTGAGACTACAACATGTAAACTACCCAACATAAATCACCAAAAAAATGATAAAAAAAAAAAAGAACAGTGAGCTGTAGAACAACTTTAAGTAGCCTAATTTACATGCTACTAGACTACTCAAAAAGAATGGGGGGATCAAAACAAACGAACAAAAAATCCCCACAAAACTGAAGAAATAATAGTAGGAAAAATTGTAAAATTGATGAGGAAAAAAAAACCTCACAGTTTAAGAACCTCAAGTAACCCCAAGAAAAATAAATATGAAGAAAAGTAAATGAACTCAGTTCATTATCAAATTGTTTATCATTAAAAACCAATGATAAAGAGGAAATGTTACAAGAAACCAGGCTTTTCTTTTCTTTTTTTTTTTAAGGATGTCTTACATGCCAAAAACAAAGATAAGAATGAAAGCAAAATTTTCCCTAAAAACCTTCAATCTAGAAAACAGGTGAGTACTAAAAGAAAAAACTGTCAACTTAGAATTCCACGGGCAACTATTATAAAATATCTTTCTAAAACAAGTACAAAATAAAGGCTTTTTTGGATATAAAAGCTGAAAGAACTAATCACTAGCAGACCAACACTACAATAAATGCTAAAAGAACTATTTCAAGTAAATAATAAATGAAATGTGAATATACCAAAAAGAATGAAGAGCATTTGAAATATTAATTGCTAATGGTAAATGCAGTACAAAGAGATGAAGCAAGATGATGTGAAATTTCTCATCACACCACTCAAAACAGTGTGCAAATTATAATTTATTTATTTCTGGAATTTTCAATTCAATATTTTTCACACCTCACTTGACTGAAGGTAATTGAAACTGTGAAAAGGGATAAGGAGTAACAGACAAATATAGTAAAAATGATAAATAATAAAGAATTGTTCATAACTTTTTTTTTGAGACGAGTCTCGCTCTGTTGCCAGGCTGCAGTGCAGTGCTGCGATCTTGGCTCACTGCAACCTCCACCTCCTGGGTTCAAACGATTCTCCTGCCTCAGCCTTCCCAGTAGCTGGGACTACAGGCGCATACCACCATGCCCAGCTAATTTTTGTATTTTTAGTAGAGACAGGGTTTCACCATGCTGGGCAGGATGGTCTTGATCTCTTGATCTCGTGATCCACCCGCTTCGGCCTCCCAAAGTGCTTGGGAGGACAGTCATGAGCCACCGCGCCTGGCCTATTTTAAACTCTTTATAAGACAGCTGATGCAGAGCAAAAGGAGTAACAATAAATTGTGAGTTTTGTAACATCTGTTAAAAAAAAAAAAAAAGTGATAAAAATAGCACGAAACCAAAAGGGTAGAAGTATATAGCTACAAGGTTCTTACACTATATGTAAACTAGTATAATTCTGCTTGAAGGTAAACTCTGATGGACTAATGATGCTATACTGTAGTCTCTAAAACAATGCAATGGAACAAAAAATTATTCCAAATCAGGCAAAACTGAATCACAAAAAAGGTTCAGTCAAACATACAGCAGAGAAAGAGAAAGAGAGAGAGAGAAGGAAAGAGAAATGATGGGCAAAAAGAAAAGGATTAGCAAATGTTAGATTAAAATACAACTACCCAGAGGCCAGGTGCGGTGGCTCACACTGTAATCCCAGAACTTTTGGAGGCCAAGGCAGGCAGATCAACCAAGGTCAGGAATTCGAGACCAGCCTGGCCAACATGGTAAAACCCCATCTCTACCAAAAAATACAAAACTTAGCCACATGTGGTGGTATGCACCTGTAGTCTCAGCTAATCAGGAGACTGAGGTGGGAGAATTGCTTGAACTCAGGAGGCAGAGGTTGCCATGAGTTGAGATCAAGCCACTGCACTCCAGCCTGGGAGACAGAGCAAGACCCTGTCTCAATAATAATAACAACAACAACAACAACAACAAAACAACAGTATTATAGTAAAATACAACCACTCAGACAACAACAACAAAACAACAGTATTATAGTAAAATACAACCACTCAGAGAATCGTATTATATGTAAATTCTCTAAACATCCCAATTAAAAAGCAAAGATTGCAATAATGAATGAATAAACTCAAAACATGACTATACGCTGCTTTAAAGAAACCTATTATTTATTTTAGCTCAGTGCAGTGGCTCACACCTGTAATCCCAAC